GATCTTAATCTTGATGTAGAAGGTGACGAGGAGACTGAAGAGCTGTACGTTCACTTATACCAAAAAAGTGCTGGATCGGCAACTAGTGTTACTGAAAGTGCCATGGAAGTAGATGAAGATATTACTGACGATATGGAGGTTTTCCCTGTTAGTAATGACGAAGACAGCAACAAAATTTCGGACGAAGAGAGTGCCCGCATTGATGAGACTTTTGAAGAAGCGCATACTCGTGTAAAGAACTATTGTGACCTTCATTATAACCAGCCCGAATTTAAGCACGAGGATAAAAAGAAAAGAATCCACACGAAGTATAAAGATGAACAGATAAGAATGCTCATTGACTTGATCGCTGCTGGCTCCGATGTGAAATCAGCCTGTAATTCAACGGGTATCAGATTGCACTCTGGTTATAATTATAGAAAAAAGTATAGAGAAGACCCAGAATTGGGAATCCCTGAAAGAAAGAAACGAGGTCCTAAGGGATCTCGATTCAAATTAAAAGACAGGCATGCAGACTGGATCATCAAGTACATCGACGAAAGACCTACTGCTGTACTTGCTCAAGTTCTGGAAGATTTGATGAATCATTTTTCGGATGAGAATATTCAGGTGAGTAAGTCAGCATCGCATAGATTTATGAGAGAAAGATGTGCTTTATCTATGAAACGACTTGAGAAAATACCTGCAAGACGAAACCACATTGATGTAATCACTCAACGTCGAGAGTCGGTAGAGGAGTGGATTGCTAAGGAGGATATGGACTTTGAAAAAAACTGCGTGTTCATAGACGAAGCAGGGTTTAACATAAATATCGCCCGTAACAGAGGTTGGTCAAAAAAGGCAAGCCTGCCAAGGCTATTGTACCTACCTCTCGCAGCACGTCAATCACTATTTTAGGCGCAATTTCAACTGACGATGTAATTGACATATCATTAAGAAAGCCTACCTCAACAACGGGAAGCAAAAAGAGAAAGGTCAATGGTAAAGAAGTTGTCGTAAATGGTGGAGTGGGTACAAGATCATCTCATTTCATGGGCTATCTTAACAGCATGATGGATTGTTTAGATAGAAATGGATTACACGGCTATTATCTTGTAATGGATAATGCACCAATCCACAAACCAATTGCAATCAGAGCGTTAATAGAAGAAAGAGACTATAAGTGCGTTTATTTGCCTCCGTATTCCCCCTTTCTTAATCCAATTGAGGAATTTTGGTCGAAGGTAAAGAGTGGTATTAAAAGAAACCCTTTGGACACAGGCGATCTTTTGACTCCTCGAATTATGGAGTCAGTTACAAATGTAACCTTACAGGATTGTCGTGGATGGATTCGACATTCGGTTAGCTTCTTTCCTCGATGTATTGCCATGGAAAAAATGCTTTAAGTTAATAAACAATTATAAAAAAACTACTTGTCTTTTGAAAAAATATTGGTATCTTTTTAAAAAATTAGATTGAACTTTTTGAAAAAATACTGGAGCGCTTTTTGAAAAATTACTGATGCCTTTTTGAAAAATTAGGGACTATTTTTTGAAAATATGGTGGGAAATCCAGTATTTTCTCAGAAATTGGTGACGATGCTTTTTAAATGGCTTGTTATGGATGATTAAAATAGTGCTGTTGGTGAGACGGAGACAACAGATGTGGTTATAGGCCTTCAGGCCGCGCTTTTATTCTCAGTACTATATAAATAATAATAAAAAATATAATCCTATCTCTCTATACCTTTTGAGGCGTGTTATGTTAAATCTTTTTGCGACCGTGTGGACAAAAGGGAGGGAATGTAAAGCCATTGAGGTCACCATGGGTGGGTGTCCACCACGTCTGTTGTCTCCGTCTCACCAACAGTACTATTGTCAGTCGTGCCTATGACAATCTTGGTTGGCTCGACTCCGACTCCAGATGTGGTTCTGTTCTCGGAAACGTCGCCAAAAAGTTTATGCGTAATTTCTCTGCCTCGAGCGTGTTGATCTCTTGGTCTATAGTAGTAATTTTCAAAAGTCGAAGAGTTTTGACTCCAATTTTTATGGTCCTTGATTGCTTCGAAAGACATCCCTAGATCTACTGCCTTTGTACTTGCGGCTGCACGAATAGAATGAACTGTGTGTTTCTCTGTATCTATCCCTGCTGAATCCATTATTTTCTTCAGCCAACTTGCTATCGTTCCCGTTGCTACTGATTCCCATTCTGTCTTCGAATCTTCATGTAAAACTTTCAATAATAATTTATGGTCTTGAGTTAAATGTTTTCGCCCTTCAAGTGTTGGTTGACAGAAAATCCATAGAGTATATACTGGGCACTTGGTTTTGTCTTGCAGGGCTCCTAATTTTGAGGCTTTGGGTTTGATTTCTTTCGGTCGTCTAACTGTCAGTGTTACTCCTATCGGTTCTGTATTACCATCATTCATAACGAATTCGACATCTCTCCACTGCAAGTTTCAGATGTCTGATCTTGGTCTCCACATGGTTGCGATGGTGACCAGGGTGATTGTTTTTTGTTGTAAGGTAAAAAGCTCTAATTCGTCCGATTTTCCCCATGCTACTACATGGTGTATTAGAAGTTGGATATCAAAGGCTTCCGTGTGTATGTTAGGGAGCTTGTCGTCTTTCCTTTTCTTTGCTTCAAAAAATTGTAATATCATTGTGTGAGATGCCAAAGGTGGAAGTGTTGGGTGGATCACTTTGTATACTGAAGCTATAGCTGACCTCATTCCATTAAGTGTGGAGTATGACATATTGTTGGATTCCACCAAAAATTCAATGACTCCTTTTGGGCTGTACTGTAAAGGATCAGACGGTGGTTGTTTATCTCTGTTCCAAATAACCCATTTCTTCCAATGTGAATCGTATTGTCGCTGAGTACCCGATCGATTGGCTCCTTTCAAATAATCTAGGATTTGTTGATTTAACCCGTCTTTACTTTGATGTTGCTGGATAATTGCCAGGCGGTCAAACAAAGGGTCTTGTTTATCGGCATTATCATCTTGTCTTTGCTGTTCTTGAGCACCATGGGCCACCAGAATTGTCCCATCCAATTTGGTGTTACCAGAATTGCCTCTCTTACGTTGTCTTGTTTGAATTTCCTCGAAACTGACGGGATTAACTTCCACGGTGGGTGAAGGTAGAGACCCTTCTTGGGCCAGGTCTGCTTGAAGGCATCTACGCCTGCTGCTTGGGGATCGGCTTAAAAACTCCAGAATGTTGGTAATCTAGTATTAATTCTCGAAGCAAATGCGTCTATCTTTCTCCTGCCCCATGTCTGTTGAATTTTGTTGAACCATCTGCGGGGTAATGTCCATTCGTAAACTGGTTTCGTTATTCTGCTCAGTCGATCCGCTGTGATATTCTTCAATCCAGGTATGTGTTGTATCTGGACTTGAATGTTGTATTCTGCTCGAATCTCCTGTATCTCCAAAGCTAGTTCGTGCAAAATTGCTGATGCTGTTCCACTGTTCTTGGCTACATATTTGATGGCTGTTGTGTTGTCCGAAAAAATTTGGATGGTGCAATTTTTGAACTTTTCTTTGTGAAGTTGAAGTGAAAACAGGATCGTCTTCAGTTCTCTCACATTTATGGATTGATCTTTTTCTTCCCGGGACCAGTAACCTAACGTTTTCAAGATTGGTGATGCTACTCCCCATCCTGAGTCGGAGGCATCGACGTGTATACTTATTGCCGGATGAATTGACTGATCTACTTGTTTTTGGAGTAGTAGCCCATTCTTTGCCGTTGCTTGAGTTTTCCACCATGACAATTCTTCCATCGCCTTGGTTGATAATAAGCATGGTTTGTCCCATTGGTATTGTTGCTGCTTTAGATTTACCGCTAAATCCCGTTGTATGTAACGTAGGTGTAAGAGTGTTTCGCCTATTGTTGGTATTAGTGAGGTCATCTTCCCCAACAATCCCGCTATCCAACGGCATGTATACATCTTCCGGCTCTCCGTAGTCTTCTCCAATTGTTTGATCCTTGACATTAATTTGTTCATCTTCGCCTGAGGGACTGTGATCTGCATGTTCTTCGTGTTGAATGTGAATCCTAAAAAATCTTGTATTTGTTTCGGTTCTAAATCGCTCTTCTCCCAGCTTATCAAAAAACCTAATTGTGTTAAGTGTGATAATACCATTTGAGTTATTTCCTTCAATTCTTGTTTCATCTTTGAAATCAAACAAATATCGTCGAGGTAATATACTAAGCGAATTCCCTTTTTTCTCAATGGTTCTAGAGCAAACTTCATCAATTTTGAGAACAATCTTGGGGCCACACTCAATCCAAAAGGGAGGGATTGATATTGGTAGACTGTACCTTGATGAAGAAATGTGAGGTATTTTTGATATTCTTGATTTATTGGCACTACAACATCTGCATCCTTCAAATCTATTTCTACCATATAATCGCCATCCTCTAGAATTTCTCTGAGGGCAGGTACTCCTTCCATCTTGAAATGTTGGCATTGAAGATATTGGTTGATTATACGACAATCTAGAATTGGTCGGATTTTGTTCGGTTCTTTTATCGTAAAGAACTGGGATAAGACGCTCTGATCTTGGCTGGGCGATCTCTTTATCACTTGAGCTATCTTGAATTTTTCTACTGAATTGTCGACTGCTTGTTGATCGATGGGAGATAATTGGATTGGTTTCAATTTCCATGGGACTGGGTTGGCCTGGAATTGTAATTTGTTACCCTGCCCTATAACTGACAACGGCCATTGATGAGTTGTCTGTTGTTTCCAGTTGTCCAGAAAGTGATGGAGGCGACCTCCTGGTGCTATACCATCTTGTGAGATGGTGTAATGTTGGTTTTGGTGTTTTTGTGTTTTCATATTTATTTGCTGTTTTTGTGGTTTTTGAATTATCTGTTGTTTTTGATGATTTTTGTAATTTTTTAGGGTCGAAGACCTTATTGGTTGTCGGTACTGGATTTCTCGGTACTTGGGTAGTTGTTCTGGGCTGGTTGTTGATTGGGGGTGAATGGCTGTCTTCCTCCACGTCCCCTGGCTCATCCAAAAAAAGAACCTCCTCGGTGTCCTTCGTTTTTGTAACCACCTCTATGTTGGCCTCTTGGCTTAAATCCATATCCTCCAAAAGACTTATTTGTTGCACTCTTGAGGAGAGAGTCTTCATATCGAGCTTGCTGGATCTTTTCCACAATTTCGGGAGAGAAGACCAATTCCTTGTCATCTTCCTCTGTGTCTTCAAGGTATCGGACAGAGGTTGGGAGTCGAAGTGCTTTTGTTGTAAGTTCTTTTGCGTCTCCATCCAATTCTTTGCTGGTAGCAAAGCCATAGATTGTAAGACGTTTAACTTTTTCCAGGATGTGTTGCATGTCTTGTTCAATTCCTCCTTCATTGATAATCCATTGGACATCGCTGTACATTTCAGCTGCTGCCCTTGACGCTGTTCGTAGTCTATCTGCGCCTTTGTGGATGGCCGCCACAGTCTGTGTCGCATCCACGTTGAATTTTATAAGTTCGGGGCCAAACATGTTGTTGATCGCCCCTGATTTTGTCCACTTTCCACCTTCATATTTGATTGTGTCTATAGCAAAGCGTTTGAGCTTGTTCTTGAGTTCAGAATTGGGAGTTTGCTCCAATTCGTCGTAAATTTCTTCTGGGAGTGAAGGGCGAGTATCTCTGTCGGCCCGTTCTTCTCGTTCTTTGAGTCGTTGGCTAAGTTCGAGTAATTCTTGTATCTGTTCCACTGTGAGTTCATTGATACTTGTCATTGTTATTTCACGTTGCGCGGCTTAAAAATGTATAGAGAGATAGGATTATATTTTTTACTATTATTTATATATTACTGAGAATAAAAGCGCGGCCTGAAGGCCTATAACCACATCTGGAGTCGGAGTCGAGCCAACCAAGATTGTCATAGGCACAACTGACAATTGATGTTTTCTCGAATTGCTAAAATGTCTGGACTGAATTTCATTTCTTATTTTTTTATTTTTTCTTTTGCCCCCTTTCCATAATTTATTATATTTTTTAAGTTAACAAAAATGAACCCTCTTCAAATTGCAACTGTCATGTCTCAATTACACCTTCATATTATGGAACTTTAGAATATTCACGTCGTTTGGAAGAAGATGGCAACAGTCTTCACTCGATTAGTGAACTCTTGATTGCCGAACGCCTTCAATATGGTTATATTTCTAGTGACTTCCAGAGTCAATTCGGTGTTGCCATCACCAGTTTACCCATTTTTTTCGGGGGTGAATATGTCGAGAGAACCCGAACGGTTGTTGGTGCCGATGGTCGTAGAGAGTCTCGTCGATACCACTTTTGGAAATTGGAACACCCTTTTCTGAACGACGATGACGAGAATCAAGTCAACAGTTACCGGGCAACATATCGCATGAGTAAGCGTGCATTCGAGCATTTGGTGAACGAGCTGTCCTTGCACGAGGCGTTCAACCTTGTCGCACCTAACACCATCCCGATCTACATTCAGATTGCAACGGCTTTATTTAGTTTGGCCAATAGTCATATCGGATATCGTCAAGCGTATATGCATTTGGGTGTTTCTTACGGTAGTTATAAGAACTTCACCAAACGAACAGTCAAAGCAATCAAAGGAAGACTGGGTCACTTAGTTGCTTGGCCAACTGACCCAGAGGAAGCAGGTGAAGTAGCTCTCGGGTTTGGTAGTAACGATGGTCGCAGGTTGAGCCACGTTATTGGTGCTGTGGATGGCAAGAATTTCAAAATTCACAAGCCTTCTGGTGAAGCTGGTGGGATGTTCAGAGATCGTAAGAATGATTACTCTGTCAAACTGACTGCAGTTTGTGACTCTGAATTGCGATTTACGTACATCAGAGTAGGTGATTCAGGTATTGTAACCTAAAAAATACAAATATGCTAATATGTACTAATCTATCAGGAAGAACACATGATGCAGCCGCATTCACCTCGAGTGATCTCTTTAGAACCATTCTTGCGAACCCTGAGACCTACTTCCCTGGTCGTACGTTTTTGGTTGGTGACTCTGCATATCCTTTGGGTCCCATTTTAATTACACCCTTCGCGGAAAGTCAATGTTTGGTTGACAGCAATAAACGTACATTCAACCATGTATATTCGGCCACAAGAATGGCTATTGAAAGAGCGTTTGGTGTACTGGTGTCTCGTTGGAGATTTACTGGTCGATATATCTACCTCTTGGATCAGCTGTCAATCAATGAGGTTATTACTTCAGCCTGCATCTTGCACAATATGTATATTGATCTTCGTGATCCTGGCTTTACAGATGTTGTTCTGGAAAGTATCCGTGGTGCTGTTGGTACAGAAGAGGTAAATTCGGATATAAATGGAAATGATAGACGAACGGAATCCCTTACTAGCTTGATCCGTACCAGAACAAGGGAAGTATAAAAAAACTTTATTTATATAAAAAAAAATTAAATATTATTATCATTAGAGGAAGGTGGGGAAGGGTTGTTGTTGTTGTCGCTAGTATTGGTGGTGGAAGGGTAAGAGGTAGGAGGGGGGTTATTATTTGCAAGAGATAAAGCAAACACTTCGGCCATTCTAGTCATAGCCGAAGTAGCTTCTCTCAACATCTCCGAATTTTTACGTCTTAGACGGTTATTCAACTCGACTTGCTCTCGATGAAACCGACGATCATCAGCTCTCTCTTGACGATTTCTTTCGTCAATTTCTTCCATACGGTTTTCCATAAACCAGACAGACACATCAATGTTTCGAGGTCGTCTAGTCACAGGCTCCTCCACATCATCATCATCTTCTACTGTGAATCTTCTACGTCTACCAGAGGTGTGTTGCTCACGATTATGAACAGTTTTACCCGAAAGTGAACTATATAGCACGTGTGGGTTGACCGTTGCTATACGGGTCGTTGCATCTTCCATGGCATCATAAAACTCCCAGTGCGGAAGAGGAGCACTACCAGTAGTTCTAGCTGCATCTCGTTTTTCTCTGTAGGATGCAATCATATCATTCCACTTGTTCTTCATCGAGGTAAGACTCCTGGTAACATTGACAGCTTCATGATCGTTAAATTTTTTCAAACCGGCAGCGTCAAGTTCGGCCTTTCTCTCAGGAGACGAGGTGTTAGTTATTTCGATGGCATAGTCTCTAAACAAGTCAATCAAAACGTACGTGCTAGGTGCGTCCCAATTTCTGCCAGTAGATGATTGACGAGTTGCGCCATCAAAAGAAGCCGACTCGGAAGGAGTTGCTGGAGCTGCTCCAGAAGAAACAGGTGCTTTAGAAGAAGCAGGTAAGTTTGCATCAGTGGGAGCAGTGGGGTTAGTAGGAGGATTGGGAGGAGTAGGAGCTGTTGAAGCAGTGGTAGGGGTAGCAGGGGTAGTAGGTACCGGGGCAGCATTTGATGTAACAGGTACATCAGATCTGGCAGGTGCTGGTCTGTTGGCTCTGGGTCGACCTCTTTGGGTGTGGCCGTTAAAACCGTTGACGAAGTTTTCGCTGGTGTAATTTTGGAAACTCATTTTTTTTAAATTGGATGATTAAAAGGATAGAGAGAGAGAAAAAATGTGAAGGGGTTGCAAATAAAAATTTATTTTAGAAAAAAAAAAACATTATCCTGAATTCAGTAGTCCATTTTGGGTTTTTTTTTCAAATAATAGAAGGGTCTTTGCTACTGTCAGACTTTAATCCTTTATTTGGATAATTCCTTTTTTTTTTTGCACTGAAAAGTTTTCGACCTTTTTTATAATTGTCGTATTTGGGTACGATTCACTTAAGTGTCAGGAGCGGGGCGGGGCAAGAGCAGAACAGAATGATTATTAAGGTGAGGGACAAGGCAAAGAGAACTTATATATCTATTAGTATTAATATATATATAAAAGGAATGTAGGTAGAAAAAAGGTTTATTCAAAGAAACAGGAAAAATAGATAAGATCTTGAATACAGAAATAAGAATAAATAAACATGCTGTTATTTATATTAATTGACAGATCGGGTAAATAAGGGTTCGGGGATCAGATATACAGAGACAGATTATTAGTCATATTGAGTTTGGGACATCTTTGGGGTAGCGGGCATAGATACAGATAATTTCGGGGAAAGATGCAGAGGATAACATGGGCTGATATTATTAATGTTTTACAAGGGAGTTCAAAGGCAGAGGTACAAAGGAAACGGGTGTTAAATGGGTTTGACAAGGACAAGGGATAACGGAGATACCTTATTTGGAACAGAGACGTTAGACAGGATACAATAGTGATGTTTGACAGTGACATGTGTGACAGGAGACAGAGAACAGGGAACAGGTGGAACAGGTCGAACAGGGACAATGGGCTAGTTGGGTTTCAATAATGATCTGAGATATTTTGCATGATAATATACAACTGAAACCTAAGCGGTTCATGACATTAAGAATAATTAAGGAAATCGTTTAAATAAATAAACTATGAAATTAAAACAACCTTTGATGTTGCATATCAGCATACGCTTGTATACTGCTATACAACTACTCCTACTTCGAGTACATACTTCTATATAAAAGATTGCATGATTGGCCTAAATACGATATACGAATGACAGTTGGATACAGAATGCTATACCACTGAGTTACGATATCACCGATCGAGAAGAGAAACTTCTCAGATCAATCAAGAATTATAAGAAAGAGAAACTTAATATTAATAGTTCTCTCAATGGATTAGCTACCCAGAGAGAGAATAGAACAGCTATTAATATAAATGGTTCATTTACTTATATATTGATATAATTATACTGCTGATAAAGAGTATAAAGAAATAGTCTATGTATTAATGGATACCTAGCTTCTACAACCAAATATACAAATATCGATAAGACATTTTATATTTGGGATCGTAATTTATTCATTACAAAGATAATGAATAAATGATCAACTATTATGTTCTATTGCCAATTACACTTGACAAACAAGTATGCATCTTTTACAGTAACCGTTGCATGATCTGATAAATAAGTGTCTCGTAATACTAAAGATTTATTAGAATACTCATGCTCCCGATCCACTGATATGGGACAACGTTATCTGGAAACAATTCTAACTAGTAGTATCCATTTAACCCAAGGCGGGAAACAAAGTATAGATCTATTCCAAAACCAGAAAGGTTGACTCATCATTAAAACTCAGGAGAGTTCTGCAATATAAAAAGGATCAATTATTTCATAGCAGCAGAGTTCTTTTAGTCTATTTTTACCCATAATAAAAATATACTTTTATCTCATTACTTTTCTATGTAATATTTTGTCAAATACCACAATAATTATCTCTTTTTGTAACATTAATTTTTTAATCATTCAAAATGGAATCTGATGTAACATTTCACCAAAAAAAAAAAAAAAACGGACAACGAAAAAAAGTCCTATATTTGGACCATTAAAAACGTTTTTGTGTGCTTGTGAGGGGCCCTTATTTGGAACAGTTTTGTATTTAAACCGTTACAGTCAGTTTATTAAGGGCCCTAACAAGCAACAAAAAAATTTTTTTTTTAAAGATCCCGATTAAGGACTTTTTTTTTTTTTTTTTTTTTTTTGTGAAAGGTTACTTAAGACTTCCAAAAGAAAGCTTTTTCCAAAATCCATGACGTTGCTTTTTAATGACCCTTTTTGAACGATTAAAATATAAAGTTCACTCAAAATGCTAACCTATCTGTTATTATTACAGTAGTTGCTGAATCGCAATAAATTTTATTTGGTATTGATGATGATATGAATATGATTCTGGAATCAGACATTTCTACACTTTATCGACAACAAAGTCTCCACTACAGTTTTATTGCATTCTCGATGTTGCCTGTTCCATCAGATCGTGAAACTCCCAGTGTTGAAGAGGTGCACTACCAGTAGAATTAGCATCGTCTCGTCTGGTTCTGAACGTATCACAGAGGCAAATCCACTTGTTATTCATCGCTGCAAAGTCCCTTCTACCGTTGATAGCGTCACTGGCATTAAAAGCATCTTTCGTTGCCTTGTTCAAGTTCAGCTTTTCTTAAGGTGAGCGAATAACACCCACGTTTACAACGTAATCGGAAAACAACTCGATCAAAACGTTGGTGCTTGCTGAATACCATATGACGAAGTTAATGGTAGTGTACTTTTGGAAAGGCATTTTGTTATATAAAATTGGATAGTTAAGAATTGGTAAAGAAAAATGAAGAGGATCTCAAACACAACTCTTTTATTAAATCAAAGAAAAAAAAATTCTTTTCGCTTATCTCAATTTTTTTAAAGTACCTATTTAACATGAACCCACTTGATAAAACTTTCTTCGACATGATGCCAGAACAACTTTGGATGGAAGATGACGCTGAACATTTCGAAGACGAAGATCAATATTTTAATGCCTTGGTGGACGAAATTAGTGCAATTGACGAGGAGTACGATTTGTGTTGTATCGCAGATGTATTGAATCATAGAAACAATAGAAATACAATATTAGATCTCAGTAGACAGACTGGAGATCGCAATCATGGAAAGATTGTTATGAACGAATAAGAATACTTGGATAAACATTTATTCAATTCAAATGGATAAACGATTGAATAGTAAATCCCGATTGGATCTACTATTAGTTTAGACACAGCTTCGTAAAAGTATAAATACGAGTTCATTCAGCTCGTAATAAAAGGTTATCTTTACTTTGATTATTCTTAAAGACCCATTTGATATCTACAATATTACAATTTGGAAGAGCAAATGCTTGAACAAGAGGTAGCCATTGCCGAAGAGCGCGTTGTTGCAGACTTCGCCCGCACCCAAGGCAACCAAGATGTCTTTTCCTTGTTTGAACTTTGGATCAGGGAAACAATTTTATATGCAACCACTCTTGTCAACTATGACATTTTTTATTATATTTTTATAAGCAGCCCTTGGATGATGACCAAAGAAGTCCACAGAAGGATTGTTAAAACCGAGTGTATGGACATGTATGAAACTTACTGGACAATCAAGCACCCTAACCAGTCAGATGATAGTAACAGCCGCCACAGTTATAGAGCCCATTATCGCATTAACAAGAGTACCTTTGAGTGGATCGTCAATCGTTTAAGTAGATGTTCTGCTTATCTCGGATTGATTTTGCGAGGTGGATACTCTGTGGAAGTCCAAGTTGCGTGTGTGCTTTGGAGATTTGCGAACACCCATTTTGGTTATCGCATTGCCGAAACCCATCTTGGCGTAACTGCTGAATTGTTCAATGATTTTACAAACAGATTTATTGATGCCATGTTGGAGATTACTCCCGAAATTATAAGATGGCCTATGGACGACAGAGATAGGGCTTTAAACAATGCTCGTGAGTTTTCAGAACTTGGTGGACCTGATGCCACGAGACCTTCTGGTGTACTAGGTGCGATTGATGGCAAGCTGGTCGTCATTCAAAATCCAGCAATTAACGGAGATGCATATGTCGATAGAAAGAGCCACGCATCTATGAACTTAATGGCCATATGCGATGCCCGTACTCGGTTTATGTACGTAAAAACTGGGCATTCCGGTAAGTTCGTATGGAAGGATAAAAAAATGATATAGCAGCTTACCGTTTGTTATTATATTAAGGCAGAAACCATGATGCCCGAGTGTTTACTAGCAGTGTGATCTATCATAAACTTTTGTTTGATGCGGCCCAATGGTATCTCGCAAACACTTATATTTTGGGAGGTAAACTCATTAATCATACCATAGTGTACAAATTATTAACGATGTCACCTAGATTCGGCTTACCCTTTGCTGCCAAACCTCATTGTTCCATTTCATGACCGACGTGAAAGCACTGCAGAAGAAAAGATTTTTAATGAAATCTTTTCTAGTTCTCGCGTAAAAATAGAACATGCATTTGGTGGACTCACATCCCGGTGGAGATTCCTTTGGAAGCATTTGTATATACTTAGTGTTGATAGAATGGCCAAAACTACCATATCTTGATGTGATTTACACAACGTTTGTATAAATCAAAACGACATTGAAGAGGCAGTGTTGGAAAAGGGTTAGATTTCGAGGGTTTTGTGGAAGCAGATCGCCGAAACCAGTATGAAAACGAGGTGAATTTTTAACCCCCTCTTCTTTTTGATGGTACCAGCGCTACCATCGACGCATCCGGGATGCGCCGTCTTAAGGCAATGTCTATCTTAAGAAGAAACAATATCATGAGGGGAACATATAGACTTACATAGTTCTCAAAAGGTTTTAATGAATTAAAAATTTTATTTTATTTAATTAATTATTATTGTCAGTAGAAGATGAACCATTAAGATTGGTATCACTATCACCTCTTCGAATGGCTGCGAATCTATTCAGGATAGTCTCAATATCGTACATACGTCTACGTCTATGCTCTTCCATGTCAGCCTCTCGTCAACTTCTTACTTCTTCGAACATACGATATCTCTCTCTGGTCTCTTGTCGCCCTCTTGCTTGCATATTTTCCAATGCCATTTGTGTCATGAACTCATTTCATCATGTCCTAGATCATGCCTTGATTTTAAACCCTTGAGAAACCTTGTCCTAGAATCTAATATCAGTATACCTTGCCCGCTACCAAACTCCCTGTAAAACCTTGTACCCAAAATCATATCTGTATATCTTGCCCGCTTCCTAAATTCCTTGTAAAACCTACCACCAATCTGTATTCCAATATATTTCCCGCCTCTTGTCTGACTCAACCTTAGTAAACCTTTTTCCGATCATCTATTACTTCTTATCCCAATCCAGTTTTCCCGCCCGTGTCAAATCAGAGATATTCCGGAACCATCTAATTATTCAATGTCAACTAAATCCAGCCTGCTATTACTCGTCGAATCTCAATTACTCATCCTTGTCAAATAATCTGCTCATGATATCTGTACCGTAAAGTCCCTTGTTAATCTATAATTTAAACCATCGTAGCTTTTTCCATGTATAAGAAATAGTATAAATAGATGCTAGTTATTTATTAGAAAAACGTTATTCTGGATCTTAGTCCTAACCCCTCCCCCTTCTCTGAAATAAACCTTCTTTTGTTATCATTTTTACTCTGACTCTCGTGTCACCAAGTAGTCTTCTTCCTGTTCTTGATCTGTTTCTGACAATTTGTCCATTGCGACTGATACGTTGCAACGTGTTATCAACATCGAGAAGTCGTTGTTCTCGATCTTCCCTTTGCGATGCTGCCATGCGATCAATCATCTCTACACCAAGTTGGCGGGCACGTGCCATATGCTCGTCTGACAACTGACGAGCAGCTTCAATAGGATCAGGAGTTGATGAAGACTGCTCACCAGAAGTTCGACTATTTCTCGATGTACGGGTAGATCTTGGTGGAGGTGGTGGAGATAAAGGTGGAGGTGGAGGTGGTGCAGATGAAGGTGGAGGTGGAGGTGGTGCGGATGTATATGAAGGTGGAGGTGGTGCGGATGTATATGGGGGTGGAGGTGTGGATGAAGGTGGTGGTGTTGGTGTTGGTGTTGGTGTTGGTGTTGGTGTTGGTGTTGGTGTTGGTGTTGGTGTTGGTGTTGGTGTTGGTGTTGGTGTTGGTGTTGGTGTTGGTGTTGGTGTTGGTGTTGGTGTTGGTGTTGGTGTTGGTTGGTGTTGGTGTTGGTGTTGGTGCTGTTGCTGTTGTTGATGGGGGAGGTGCGGATGCTGATTCAAAAAATGATGGCACTGCAGGTCCTTCGTTGTTGGTAGAATCTCTAGCAGGTTATCGATCAGCAAATACTTTCTGAATTACAAGTTGATCAACTTCTGTAGGTCTCAAGTATGTTGTTTCAGGGCCGTCGAATCCAATAGCATTCATCAAATTGGCGTCGTTAAATCGTCTGTAAGACCGAATATTACTCTCTTGCATGTTGATGCTTTTGTAAATCACTTCAGGCTGGATGCTTGGATCAACCTGAATAATCTTAGCAATTTCCTCGTAGTACGGCATGTTTGGAACAGTTCCACCAACTCCGGTTTCTCTTGCTGCATTTCTTACTCTGGTAAAACGCTGCTTCATGTCTGCCCACTTTCTTTGCATGCTTGTCTCACTAAAGTTTGTCAAAAAAGCCGTGATTACATCGGTGGTAGCATTCTCAGCTAACGTTTCCTTCAGCAAAGCAGCCGAATGTACCAAGATAAGCTGCTTTAAGGCAGTATCGCTTCTTCTCAGCAAGTAGCTGTAGGTACCAGCCATAATTTCGGGGAGGATACAGATAGCTACATCAGGCCATACATTGTAGGACCGTGAAGATAATTGTTCAGGCTCATCGTCATCATCAACGTTGGCGTTACTGTCAGCTTCGGTGTTGCCGTTGTTAACACGAATGGTGTTTTGCTAAACGGTAGGATCGACAACAAACACAAACGTGCCAGCGCGTCTGCCACGTCTACGTCTGCCTCCATGTCCATTTCCACGACCGCGTCCACGACCACGTACGTTGTTGGGGGTATTGTTATTAGCTTCGGTATTATTCATAGTAAGGTAAGTGATAAAATTTATTTGACAAATTAAAGGGAAAGAAAAATAAAAATAAAAAAACACTGATTTAAAGAAGTTCGTTATTTTATCACTTCCTTTTCAAGTAAACAGTTTTGAAAACAAGATCACTTTGATCATGTTTTTATTTGATTTCTTATATGTATATGTATTATTTTGCCCAAATTTAGCTCTACATTTTAGAGACTTGTTTCACTATTTTTGTATAAAAAATAGGCTATTTGTTTTCGGTTTCCGATCTTGAGAGCACCTACTGTCTGATTTTGTATTTATTTTGTCCAAAAAAAGTAAGTCAATGTCTGAAAGTATATTTTGATTCGTCTGCAAAAAAATTAACATTTTCTGAATTTAAAGTGTGAAAACTGTAACGGTATAAATACAAAATTGTTCCAAATAAGGAAAGCCAATGAAAAAATTCTCTTGCCGATAGGCCTGGGTTGTGGAAAATTTACCAAAAATAGTAATTCTTCCTTTTTAAGAAAAAACACGCTTATACTGAAAATCTTTACTATTTTTTCGAAAAAAATGTCTTTACAAGGTGAATTGAGGGTGACATGCTGGACATTATGGACCAAGAATGTCAGTAAGTAATAATTTAAGTATTTAATATGGGTAATTTCTTACTTTTATTCTATTGTTGCTTAAAACCGTTTTAATGA